ATACACACACATATATATATATATATGTACACACACACACACACACACACACACACACACACATATACATATACATTTATAACATTGTCTTATATTTTCTGCACAATGCAATATTTATCTTGTAAGCATAACTTTCCGACATAATTCTCTGATGTTGGATATCAACCTGTTTGTAACACGATTGAATATCTTGTTAATTTAACGTAGAAATTTGTCACAATTTTTCTACTTATCGCGACTTTCTGTGTACAATTTTATTTGCCGTGCGAGATATTGTATAACGTTTATCAAATTTACGTGGTATAAAGAGCTTGAGCCTAGATATTCCTTTTCATTAAATGAACAAAACATCAGCCTTAATTACAAAACAGAATATTATAGCTTTCTCTAATAAAAATAAGGAAAACGAACATAATTTTTCGGACACAAATATTTGTTTTTTAAATACAAATTATGTCTCATTTGAAATCAGAAGGAGATCCAAAAGAAACTTTCGGTGTATTATTAAAACATTTCAAATTTGATATCCGGCTTAAGCCCTTTTTAACAATCACTCGAAACAATTACATAATTAAAAGTCTAAAACGATCTACACTCTGCTCTCGCGAATATCGGCAAGTGCGCCGAAGTTACCAGCCTCCTCGTCGGGATATTGCGTCCCCTCGGCCTCATCCTGATTCCTGCCCTCATCTTCCAGTCGCCTGTTCCTCGCGAAGTACCTGGGATCGTCGTTAACGATGTTGCAATTTATCTCGTTTTGCATTTGGGAGTGGTCCAAGGGCAAATTGCTGCCGTTCTGATCATCTCGGTACGCCCGAGATCGCTGATCCTCGTCGATACATCTGTCTCGCGTAGCCTCGATCTCTTCGGGATCGGGCAACCTGACGAAGATCTGATGTTGATCTCCATCGCGGTTCAACGAACTTCTGCGGCTGTCCTGGCTCAGCCTGGAAGCGCTGCGGGCGTGATTCCTCGTGTTCATTAACTCGTTGCCGACGACCTGATGATTGTTGCGGCCTGCGTGTCGATGATTCTCGTTCTCGTCGACCGGAATGCGAAACGACATCTCGTCGTGAGACACGCGGAAGGTCTCGAGGTTCGCGTCGTTGCTGGAGACCCGCGGCATTGTCTCCCGACTGAGTCGATAGAGACCGAGCTCATTGTCCACGTAAAAACTGTCCAGCGGGTTGCTGATAATGGACGGATTGCGCGAAACGTTCCGTCGCGGATAGCTCTGCAGACTGGACAGACTCGTCACGGTGGCGTAAGGGTGATACCCGGGCATCGAGTTCAATGGATTTCCGATGATATGCGGACAGCTGTCCAGGCTCTGCATCTCGATCTCTTCCTTGCCGTCTCGGCAGTAATCGTGCACATCGATCTCGTGCGGTAAATTGGCAAATCTGTGAATTAAATGGAATTTAAGGTAATCGAGGTAATGCTAGGTCAAATAGCAAATACATTAAATATTTATATGACTTCAATCAAATTATTTTCAGATTTGTATCTGGTAAAAATTTTAGATACTTCAGTAAAGCCCGTCCGTACAAAAGTGTTATACCTGTGTAAGAGAATGTCGGAATAAGAGGGAGGCATATCGGTTTCCTCTTTGCCATAAATACTCTCGTAAGTAGGTGGCGGGAAACATCCGACAGAACCTAAGCTATCCTTGCTAGGTGTTTCGGCGTCCATTTCGAGAATACTGCCTTGACTGCTCTGTAACTGATGACGATTTACGCTTCGTGGATTTCTCTGAGCGCGTAACACGCTATCGCCAAGTTCCACCAGATCTAAACCTGTCAAAAATGTTATATTCATTATGTTATTTATTTAAAAAAAATCTATTAAAATATAGTAGATATACTTTACAGCAACATTTATGCATTTTTTACATATTTTGATAAAGAGTTCGACAAATTTTATATGAAAGAAATGAACGTTTCTTATACTGACAGTTCTGCATGTTTTTATTTACAACAATTAATGCTATATGAGTGTTTTCCAACGATTGATTTTATTTCAATTTACTCCACTTAAAACTCATTATCACTTTTTTAATTCTGCATGGAATTCTAAATTATACCTGTGGGATCGGTCTGAAACTGTGTGAAAATCGTCCCATCGACGACGAGCATTCTGCCGTGCGGCAGAAGAATAATCGTCGGCGTCGCGACCATAGCCTGATCGCTCCCGCCGAACCGTGGGTCTGGATCGGGATCTTCCAGACGACAACAGCAATGCCGTCTACATAGCGATCGGCAGAAAGGTGCACCCCAACAACAGTACGCGAAGATGAAGCACAGGACGGCGAGCATCACCATAAGGGCGGCCACCCCTTGACCCTGTTGAGCGGCTGCGAGCGTCGGCCCGCCGGCAACGCCGACGCCGACGCCAAATCCACCGCTGTTGCTCATCTCACCTAGAATTAAACGATTGATTTTACTTCACAATATATTTATATAAATAGATACTTTATATATAATATAAATATAGTATAATATAATTGTTAGATTCTTTTTAAATAATTCTTAAATCGATTGCCTCTTAACGGAAGATTACTTGGAAATCTCATTTTTAATATAATTTTGTACTTTTGTTGTATTTTTAATATGAAAGAATAAATTTCACTTAATATGAAAATGTGATATGAAGAGACTTTTCCACTAATCTTTTAATAACCTTTAAAACGATTTGATTTAAATCATAAAATATGATAGTATGAAATATAAAATTTATTTAACTGAAGATTTTCTTTATTACATTTACCTAATTTCTTCTTAATTAAATTTAATTCAGATTAATATAATATTTAAAGTTTATACTTATATAATTTCGTTGTCATAATTTTTTGAGTAAATTATGAATTTTTTATTGTTTAAATATCAATTAGAATCTCTTTCTTCATGCATGATCTAAATGAAAATATAATTTTACTGATTATTAAACTAAGATTATTAAAAGCATTACATGAAGCTAAAGTGACTTACTATATTGTTGATTACACATTGAAATTTTAAACTCAAGTTACTTCCTGTTTGTCGTATACCTTATGAATAAAGATGAATGTTATATAAACGTGGGCGAAACCGTTTTACGTGTACGAGCTCTCTCTTTATGCTAATAGTCCAAATTTCATAGTCCTTCTCTTTGACGACGGTGAAAGTAAAGCGATGATTGTAATATATTACATAGGCATCGAGAGAGTAGGGCAAACATCGGACACAGTCGATCAATCTTTATGCGCGCTCGCGTGTAAAGTTTTACAACACCACCTAATCTTCATGGCTGGCTCTCTGTGTGATTAAAGATATCACTAAAAAAATATAGACACAATTTTGATAAGAAATTGATCGATCTCATAGGAAAAGCAATGTTGCAAGTTATTGCAAGTGTATTGTTATCAAACTACGATAGTGACTACTACGAAATTAATCCGTCAACTTCAGAATTTATAACAACCTTATTTTATATATCACAGCTTATTGTTAAATTATTATCACACTACGTATTTTAATAAATTATAATAACTAACAAATTTATTAAGAAATAAATTAATAAGATAAATTAATAATAAATAATTAATAAATAATTTATTTTCATAATAGTGATAAAAAATTCATTAAAAATATATGACTCACATATCAATTCGATCGCAATATTAATTAATAGAACCTATCCTACCTATTTTAGTCATATTCTTAATATTTTTAACGTGGAATAGAGACAAAATAAATTCGTTAAAAATATCTAAAATATTAACTATATAAAATTCCTCGTACAAGTAATAATTATTATTATAAATATTATTGTATAAGTAATAATTATAAAAAAAATATAGAGATGAAATACCTTTACCTTGAGAGGTGATGTTGTGAAGCCAAGCGATCCCCGTGGTGGTTGCTGATTTTATGACACTGCACGACCCGTATATTATAAAAATAATTGGGGACTCGTTGAGGACTTCGTGTCGGTCTGAGAAGGCGATTACGTCTCCTCGAGAGAAACGATGGCAACGACACGATCACATTGACGACCCGCGAATTTCAGCACGTGGACGATGACTGGATGTGTTTCCGCTGCGATAAACGATGTATCTCTTGCGGCGCCAAATACATCGAGCTTGCATTCCTCGTGGTGTTTCTCGTTGTGTTTTCGATGATTTCGCGTTTATTAAATCACACAGATAAATTAATTCCTCGATGTCAACATCGTGGCACTTATTTCTTTTTTAAATTCTTCTTCAGAATTAATACCCAGAATAATTTACATTGTTTTCCTTGATTAAGTGAAATAATGAGGAGGCAAATGCAATTCGAGTGACATTAATTATAAATTAAAATTTGAATCACTTTATTTTTAACTGTTAATTTCATATTATATTTCACATTACAAAAATAATTATTCATAAGATCATAAAGAAAATGTAAATTTCATTGGCGATAATTGCACGGATTGTTATTTTGGTCTCCAATCGCAAAAGTTGCAACGAGTTCGCACACTTATCTCATTTCATCGATATTGCATTAATAAAATTCACAAGTTTCTTAAGAAAATTCGTTTCTATTAATCCGTACTATAATTTGATATAGCACACGTACTGATTTCTCGTACAATCTATTCAACGTGAGACACGTAAAGTCAAGTAAAAACTACCACACTGCCATAGTCGAGACACTCTTGACCGATTTCCACAACGTCCCCACTTTGTATATCAACTTACGTTGCTTCTCCGGCGATATCTCTATTTCTCAATCGAGAAGAACACCACTCGTCACGACCTCACTTGCAACTCTCTTGCCCCTCTTGTCAATCCTGCAC